ACTTAACACAGTATACTCTTTTATTCCTTCTGTTTCCTATTTTTGCTATTATTTTCATATACTTTATACCTTAGTTATAAATTTCTACCTTTGTGTAATAAATGATACTATATTGTTATTAATTTTTCTTTAAATGGTCAGTTTTCTTTTCTTTTCTTTTCTTTTTTTTTTTTTTTTGAGTTGGAATCTCACTCTGTCGCCCAGACTGAAGTGCAGTGGCCACTCCCAGTCACTGCAGCCTCGACCTGCTGGGCTCCGGCAATCCTTCCGCCTCAGCCTTCCAAGTAGCTGCAAGTACAGGTGTGCGCTACCATGCCCGGCTAATTTTTGACTTATTGTAGAGATGAGATCTTGCCAAGTTGCCCAGGCGGGTCTTGAACCCACTGGCTCAGGCAATCCACTCACCTCAGCCTCCCAAAGGCGCGGGATTACAGGCTGAGCCACCGAACCCGGCTGGTCAGTTTTCTATTTCAATTTTTAGTGTATATAATTTATAGACTATAAAATGTGCACTTTTTGTATACAGTTCTGAAAGATTGGTAAATGTATACAGTCATATTGTAACAGGTTAAGAAGTGACCATTTTGGTTATTTTTAAAAAGAAGGCTTATATTCATAGTTAAGACCAAGCTGAGCATCAGTCGTTTTAATTTAAAGTGCACTTTTTTTCTCTTTTTCCTCTCCCCTGCTTCACTGCCCTCAGAATGTAACCCTCCCTCCTTTGTGCTAGTATAGCCTTGCCCATTGGTTTGGAAGGCCAATTTATCTAACAAGCTGGTGCTGGAGAAAACAGCTGCCCCTGAGAAACGAAAAAGTTACACATCTTTGAAAAGTCCTTCAAGAGATAAGACTCAATGGAAACTCCCTGAAACCCTTAAACTGTGCTCATTTCTTTAAGTGTAAATCTCTTTTGTGGTATTCAGTTAAGATTCATGTCTTATGTAATCATTAGTTAGGTCATATGTGAACCGGAACTAGCTATTATAACTAAGTGGAAAAGGCTCAGTTCAGGATTGTTTTTTTTTTTCTTTAAACAAAACTAATGTAGTCTAGACACTGGTTTATGCCAAAAGATGCTAGAAAGACGAAACGCTGATTTTAAAAGGAACTCTGGTTATGGTCATAGTATGGAGACATGTAGACACTGTTAATCAATAGCTGAAATAGATAAGATACTTCCTGTCTTAGCTATAAATACTGAATGTAAAATTTGCCTTGGGGAACAGGTTTTTGGGTCAATACCCGAAGCTGTTCCCTGATTTCTGGTTTTCAGAATAAATGCCCATTTTTCTCCCAGCTTCTGCCTCTCTCTCTCTCTATAATTGGCAGAGAGAGAAAGCAGCTGATTGATTGGATTGGGCCGTTACAATGTAATCACCACCATGATCAAGACATAGCTCAGTTTATCAACCCCAGACAACTCCCCATGGCCTTCCTTTCTCCTACCAGCAATCCCTAAGTCACCAGTGATTTGACTTCTGTCTCTCTGGTATGCTCCTTAAAGGAATGCTATATAAATGAAATCATATAGTGTGTGGCTGTATGAGCCTGGCATCTTCTGCAGTTGAGATTCACCCATATTATTGTGTTTATCAGTGGTTCATTGTACTGTATAAGTGTACCTCAGTTTATCCAATTATCCATTCTGCAGTTGGGGAACATTTGGGTTGTTTCCAGGTTCTGGCACTTACAAATAAAGCCACTGTAAACACTGGTGTATAGGTTTTTGTGTGAACGTGGATGGTTTTGTTTAGATTCAAGGGGTCCATGTGCAGGTTTGTTACATATATCGTAGGACAATGAGTTTGGGTGTCTATTGAGCCCAGCACCCAGGTGGTGGACATGGTACCCAGTGGGTGGTTTTTAACCCTCACTCCCCTCTCCCTCCCCTTTAGGAGTGCCCAGTGTCTGTTGTTCCCATCTGTGTGCCTGTGCATATTCAGGGTTTAGTGAACAGAGGTTTTCATTTCACTTGGGTAAACACCCAGGCATGAGATTGCTGGGTCATGTGGTAAGTGTATGGTTAACTTTGCAAGAGTTCAGTTATCTTTTACGAAGGTTAAAAACGAAGCCAGGCGCAGTGGCTCACGCCTGTAGTCCCAACACTTTAGGAGGCAGAGGCAAGAGGATTGCCTGAGCCCAGGAGTCCGAGACCAGTCTGGGCAACTTGGCAAGATCTCATCTCTAAAAAAAAATTAGTTGGGAGCACTGGCCGAGTAGTCCTAACTACTCGGGAGGACGAGGTGAAAGGATCTCCTGAGTCCAGCAAATCAAGGGTGCAGTGACTGTGATTGTGATTATGCCACTGCACTCCAGCCTGGGCAACAGAGTGAGACTGCAATGCTAAATACACACACACACACAAATAAAAATAAAAGTGCTAAAAGCAAGAAAAAGTCTTCATATTTGCCCAGTTGACCATCGCCTACAGTCTTCACTTTTTGTGTGAGCAAATCCAAATCTTCTACTTAAAGAACTTTCACAAATATTTCCTGTAGTGAAAGTTTGCTGTCTGTGAATTCGCTTCCACCCTTATTGGTCTGAACCAAGAATTTATTTTGCTTTTGTTTTTCAAAGGTTTCTTCACTTAGGTATAGAATTCAAGGCCGACCACTTTTTTCCTCAAGGACGCTGTCTGGAGCCTTGGGCAAGCCCACTCTCTGGTGGGACAGCCCCTCAGGTCACCCACCCCCAGCTCCCTCTGGGAGGGGACAGCTCCGGGGCGATGTGCCAGGGAGGCCCGCTCTCAGCTCTGGGACCCGGTTCACCCCGGAGGACCCGCGGTCAGGAGCGAGTCATCCGCACCCGGGGAGGACGCAGGCGGCCCCCAGCCCCACGGAGTCGCGTGCGT